ACATTTTTAGAAAAATTATTGAAGAAATTCCCTGCTAGGAACTCACTTTCTCAATGTTTGAGGTACAGTACTGGGCGAGGCGGTGAGGATCTTGTACGGTGCGTTTCTAAATGGGTGCGTTGTCTCTCTCTTTTGCAGGGCCGTCACGGATCCTCGGGACGGGCGGCGGGTGGCGCTCAAGAAACTGCCCAATGTCTTCCACTCGCTCGTCTCCTCCAAGAGGGTATTCCGGGAGCTCAAGATGCTCTGTTTCTTCAAGCACGAAAACGTGAGTGTACTTAAATGTCAGCTTGTGTGTGTGTTGTTGCTCGCGACGTGCGTGTCTCATATTCACCTGTCGCCCCCTCTCTTTTCGTGTTTCAGGTTCTCTCCGCACTGGACATCCTACAGCCGCCGCACCTGGACTTTTTCCAAGAAATGTATCCTTTCGTGTGTGAGCGTTTGTCGCCTGCAGTCGTCCTGCAGTGTCTCTCTCGACCGAATTGTCTTTCGGGTGCATCTAAGATGGCCGTCTGCGATGGGGACTGGCTCTCTGCGTGCGCCAGAGCTGGTCATAGGCCGACCGACAGAGGATTCCCCTCCCCCCCTCCCTTTTTCCTTTCTATCTCTTTCTATCTCTCTGTGTCTGTCTCTCTCCCTCCCGCATCTCAGTCGCGAGGGCAGCTAGATGAAGGAGACTGTAGTTCCTCCCGCACCGCCCGGTGACATCTCCAGAGAAGTAGGTCAGCACCCGCCCCGCGGCCGGGCCGGGCCCGGCCCAGCCACCCGGTCGGGACGGTCGGCAGGTGCGCGGGCAGCCGCAGGTGGGCGGCGGCGGCGGCGTGCTGCTGCTGCTGCTGCTGCTGCTGCAGGTGCGGAGGACAGGTGGTGGTGGTTGTGCTGCAGCCAGCGGGAGCAGGATGATGGCGTTGTTCGGCAGGAGGAAGGGAGGGGTCTGGTCTCATTTCCATTCTGGTCCATATTTCGCCCGGCAGGGGCAGAAGGAGAGGTGCGTTGCGGGCGGCACGCGCCACCGACGCCGGTGCGGCAGCTGCGCCCTGCGGACCGGTCTGCTGCGCCGCGCCAAATTGACCCTCTCCTTGGCCCCCGACCTCCTCCTCATCCTCCTCCCCCGCCCGCTCCCCCGGCTCCCTCCTCGCCCTGGACACCGTGGTGGCCCTAGAGGCCTTGGCCCTATCTGCTGCCAGAGCTAGGGGCCTCGACCTATAGAGCAGCCTTCAGCGCGACGTCCTACCCAATTACAAGTGCGCCATCAGTGTTTGTGAATTTGTAGTGACGGATGGGGCGATAATGTTTCGGGGCGTGCTCGTGCTCTGCCGCTGCTGGAAATGAGAACAACAGTCCGGGGGGAAGGGTTGCGCGCCGGCTGGGCTGGCTGGCTGGGCTGGCGGTGTGAAAGTGGGCGGGCAGGCCGTGCCCGCGCCGCGCGCCGCGCCCCGCCGGCTCCGCTGTGAAGTGGAGCGCGCCCCGCCGCGCCACGCCACGCCACTCCCTGACGTAACGCTCGGCCCTCGACAAATTCCGCCACGCGTTCACCCACCGCCGCCCCCGCTTCAACCCCCCTATTCTCCGAAAAATATTCCTTGGCTTGGAGCGCGTGCGCGCGGGTATTTCAAAGGGGGTCCGTCGCCGCCGCCCCCGTTGCCGCTGGCGGCCGCCGCTGCCCGTTTGGTTCGGTCGGGGGCGGCTTTGCTAGAAATAGACGGCATGGAATTCCGTTGTCGCCGCCCCGACGACGGATTCTTACGAAATGGAGATACGGACAAAGTTTTGGAAAGGGGCGGTAAGGTCACAGCGTCCTGTTAGTTTTGTTGCTGCTGCTCTTGTTTTTCGATTCGATTCTGCTGCGTCTCGCCTAGCATCAATTCCCCCACCACCGTTCACTTTTTACGTTTTTCGTCGTTGTTTTTCCTTCCTCTTATTATTAAATTATTTGGTGCGTTTCGCGTGCCTGCAAAAGCGAGAGAGCTCGCTTCGCTTCCCCCTACACGAGCGCGCGCGCGCGCCTCGCCTGCCTTTGTGCGTCGTTAGTACGTACGTACTGCTGCTGTACCGAGTACGCGGGCGCGCGCGCGCCCACCGCCCACGTATACCGTGTGGTTGTAGGGGTGGGGCGGCATCTCACGGGTGGTACTTGCTGCACGCCCGCTGCATGTCTGCTTGCACTGCTGCTGCTGCCACACACAGGCGTGTGTGCGTATACAACTGCGTTGCGTTTAGTGCGTGCCCGAGCTGCTCTCGCGGCCCTGGCCGCCAGCAGGTGTGTAAGGACGCTACGCACTTTGCTGCTGCTGCTGCTGCTGCTGCTACAGCACACAACAACACAACAAGAGCTCGCCCGCTTCTAATTGGTTCGAGCCATCTCGTCTCTCTCGGCCGGCTAGTAGTAGCAGTGTGCCCAGTGTGCCTGCTCGGCTGGTGCTGCGCTCCTCTTCTTCTCCACCCCCGCCGCCGCCGCCCGCGCCCCGTTATCTTCTACCCCCCGTGAGTATTAGTCCCGTGGGGCAGCCGAGGGACGAGCGGAGCGCGCGGCTGGATGGCTGGCTAGGCTGGCTACTTTGCATAGGCGGTGCGCCTCGGCTGCACTGGGCTGCAGTAGCAGCACCACCACAACCAGCAGCAACAGCAGCAGCAGCGGTGGCGGCTTAGGCTTCCAAGGCGAAGGAGAAGGGGAGTAATTAATCATTCTTCATATCATTACTACAACGCCGCGTCCTTCCACGATGACGCGAGTATGAGCGCCGCGATGCAGCAGGCTGCGCGGGCGGGAGGGTGGCTCCTCC